CTCAATATGATCTACCGATTTCAATCTATACAGGTTTCTGTGCTCTGATAGCCGGCCTAATTGACCCTGGTCGACTAATTGGACAGATATATTTCACCTCACATTAGTTGCAAGGGAATGGGTAAACCAAGTTATTCTGCTTAATTGGATCAATAGGATCTTTTAAACTACAAAGCTTATTTCGAAGTGAGTTTGTAAGTTAAAATGCCATCTACTCTAATGGCAGTCAGCATTATTGAGAATCCTACGTAGTGTTTCTGAGGTGCCTTCCTTGTATTATGGGATAACGGTGGAGGTTTTCAATTCTCTCTTCCCAGTATTGTCACCGTTATTATTAACATTACTGTCACCACTGTTGACACCGGTGTTAATAATATTAGTTACATTTTTCATACTATTCCTGAGGAATTTATCAATAAATTTGGGGGCTTTCTTATCTAAGATCCTCTGTTTCCCTATAAAGTTTTCATGACATGTTACATAGGCACTTTAGTAAGCTGAATTCAACTGACATAGAGACGATTTGGAATTATTAGTCTGTTGGGTTCCTAATGGAACATAGGGCTTCAGTAGCACATCTCCACTACACTCTCTTCTCTGAAATCTTTCGAACCTGGCTCCACGACTGCCCACAACCTCTCATTTCCTCCTCGCACGACCTCCTTCATGTCACCCTCAACTAGGACGCCCAACTAGTCGCTTCCCATGGGGATTCCACTCGAGCAACTGGCCTGATGCGTGATGTCCCCAGTCGACCTTCTCAGAGTATGCCCAATCCATCTACACTTCATTCTACATATTTGTTGAGCGATAGCTTCTTGCCTCGTTGGTTAGTTCCCAGAGCTCCATGTTGCTGATTCTCATTATTCTGGCCATCCATCTGATCTTCAGTAGCGAGCCAGCGTAAGCAGTTGTTGATGAATATCTATAGTTTATTGGAAATCCCTTTCGTGACACGCCAAGTCTCTCAACCATACAGAAGCACTGATTTGACTGAGTTGGTGTTGAAAATCCGGATGTTGTTCCACATGCTGAGTGCAGTGCAGAAGATCTCCACACTGGTTTCAGGTTAATGAACGACCGTCTTGCTTTTCCGATTCTGACTTTGACATCCTCGTCTGTGCCTGTGTCGCCTGTAGTTGAAACAGTGCTTCCTAGATAGGTGTAGGTGAAGGAGGCCACTTCCTCTAAGTTTCTCCCGTTGATGGTGACTGGAGTTTGTTGTTGTTGGAGTTGTTGGTGCGGTATCTTCATCACTTCTGTCTCCTCTACATTCACTTGAAGTCCCGTCTTCGCTGCCTCGCCTCTTCTGTCAACTTGTTAGTTTTTGCCTGTAGATCTTCAAGTTTATGTGACATCAGGCACAAGTCATCGGCGAAATCCCTTGGGTTCCCAGTGGAAAATAGGGCTTCAGTAGGACGCCTACATTGCACTCTCTTCTCTCTAGTCTTTTCAACCTCGATCCACAATTGCTCATAAGCTTTCATTTCTTCCTCATACACCATCTCCTCTATGTCACCCTCGGCATCATCATTTAGGTGTTGAATGAGGTTGGTAAAGATGTATGGCACTCGGTAGTGTTGAAGTAACTGCCAAATAACTTCTCGGTCATCGCTGTCGAAGGCCATTTCAAAGTGAATGAAGTTGAGGTAGAGAGTTGACTTCTATTCTTTACTGTGTTCTATGACGATGCTTGGCGTAGCATTGCAATTTGATCCGCACATGATTTGTTCTTCCTAAAGCCAGACTGTTCCGTTGGTAATTTTGAATCCAGTGCATTTTTTAGGATGATGCGGCATAATATAGATGACTAGTGCGTCTAAACTCCCAGCTTGTTTCCGTTTTATTCTGCGATCCAACATCGCTAATTCCCTTTCACTATTTTTTTCGATTCGCTTATTCTAACTGACCCCAATCGGCTGTTTTTACATACAAACTTGACCTCACAATCATTACGTGGTTATCCCACTTAATTGGCGCTATCAAATCTCTTAACTTACCAAGTTTAACTCAGAATGGGTTTGTGAGTTTAAATGCCACCCTAATCTCGGTATTGTTATGAATTCTAAGCAAAATTTTCGATAGTCCCTCTTTATACAGCAATCCTTATAAACTTATTAATAAAGCCCGGAGGGGAATTGTTAAGATGTGGTGTCTGTATTTATTGGTGACGGAAATGCAACCAATTTCATGTTGTCTAGTCTTGAGTGCAGACCGAATCTTATCGATCATATTTGCAATGTGGCGCTTGAGCTAGGATGCTCAGCATCACAGTGCACATCGTGGCTCGCTGACAAAAACACTGGGTGACGTAGGTCCGAATCTCAGGCGAGACATTAGTTCCGTCGAGGTTGCAGATACTCCTTGCTGACGAGTGCCAAAAAGCCCGAAATCTAGGTAAGACAGGGTTTCCTGCCGATTGCCTTTAACCAATTAACATTTACAAATGTGGTTTCTCTTTAATGCTCTTCAGTTCATTATCCAGTCGTTTTACGAAGCCCATCTTGACAGATATGAAATGAGACAATATGAAATGTGTTGTCAAACTAACAACATCTTATTCCACCTCGACTTTAGTGAAGACGACTTTATTATTCAAATACACTCAATAAAAACATTCCTGAAGAAGGCAATACATTAAAGATGGTCAGATGAAAGCACTTCAAGAATACAACTGAACTTAACCCACTGCCTATTGTACTAGGACACTTTTTGCAGGTTTTAAGAAGTGGAGTTATGCCCAAACTCAAAAAAATATTCTGATTACTGCTTCCTTTGTCCGTTCACTGTCTATTCTTCAGCCATAGAAGGTATACTTAAAAAGTATTTATAAATTCACTTGAAACTGCTTACCTTTGTTAGTTGATTTCTAATCAAAACTTTACAAGGTTTCAAGAATATCTTTCGATGTGGTAGAATAATGTAACCCCATAGTAAATTATTTCTCTACATAAATAATAACTGATGAAAGCAGACAAGTACATTGATTGGTCACTGAAGAGCGAATAGTTTTCCTTGTTGTCTAGTCCTGAATACTGACTGAGATCTACCGATAATTTCGCAATTTACTACTCAAGCTAGGAGAGTGACCATCGCGGTGCATTTTAATAGCTGTCAGTTGCTTGCAAGTTTCATTCTTGCTGCAACCTTGATGAAAATGATATTTCCTGTGAGGTTCAAACTCATATCACACAGTGTTGCATTCAGTGACACTGCCATTGAACTATTCAGCCTATAATTCGCCTCCAGTTAGACTAGATGACATACATTGATCAGTCACTGAAGACTAGTCAGTTCCATTCCTTCGACTTCTGAATTCTTACCCAAACTTTATCGATTATTTCGTAGATAAAATTTTATTCTATTATAACAGTCAGGAATAAATCTGATGATTTTTCATTGAATATGTTGTTTTAATAAACAAAACAAAGACCAGCTGAACGATAAACAGAATTTAATCCCACAAATACTTATCAAAGAATGAATACAACCTTTTTTTCGGCGTATGAAGTGTTGTATTGAAGCTGACTGCTTGAGATTATGTTGAAATGTCTGTTGATGTAAGCTCATTGGAGTTATGAGAAACGTCTAAGGACTCTGAAGTGAACCAATCAAGTGAATGACTGACTGGTTGTATCAATTCATCATCATCATCAGTATCAGTATAGGACCAGGCATTACTGCGTAACGGTCCAAGTTGCTACACTTCATATCAGTACATTAGGTAGAAAGGTAGTGAGGTGAAGGATGAAGATAAGAGAATGCAGTCAATAGAAATATAAAGTAGGAGAAGAAAGAAAGAAAGAATAACAAAATGGTGAGAATCGGTATAGCGTCGTTAAGATGAGGATAATGTGTGTGCGCCACTGAAATCGGTTCTTAGCTATATCCCCTAGAGTCTCTAACCACTGATTCCTCTTGTCCTGCAGACCCCAACCACGAAGTCTGCATCGCTCCACATGCCTCCAACCAACAGTTAGAGACTTCATACATTGGTGCCATAATTCAAATCCACACTATTTTCGTGAGATGTGACATATTATACTGATAGTGATTTAAGAACTAGGCTAGAAGAAGTCTAACAAAAGTCAAATCAGGATATGCTACTAGTTCATAAGGTCCTTGATGAAAAGGTTCAAAATTTCTGTTTGTAGGTCCATAGTTACGAGGAGTCAACACTTGAAAACTGTAAAGGAAGTAATTGAAAAGTGACCTTATTGATGCTTATTTATCGACATAATTTCGTCTTCATTCATTTCAAATTGATATTCCTCATGAATTGGAGGGGTGTTTCGTCGCACCATGTAACTCCTCAGCAGTTAACATTGCACTAAAAATTATCTATTTCTTTATCTATTGTCACTTGTTTTTAAGTTCTTCTTTGTTACTTCAATACCATCCAATTACTTTTCAGTTTCAGTCTCTGTAAAGTTCTATGCTGTGGAAGTCTACATTCTTTGAATGCTAGTGAGGGATTCCAATTTGATTAATCTTAGTAAAACGCGGGTTTGATCCCTAGTGGTACGGAGTCATGGCTGCTCACTGCTGAAGAGTCCCATACTAGTCGGATGAAACATCTGTCCAGTACTCCCAGGTTTCCTTTGTTCCTTCAACTACTGATATCAGTCTACGATGAATAACAACTTGAAATATTTTCAAATCTCCACAACTCCCTCAAAACGTATAGCAATAGTTTAGAAAGATAATAATCTACTAATCGTACTGAGATTACATTTGAATAGCACAACTCAAAAGTATACTCTCTTAATTTCATTGGAAATTGAACCTTGGCTTTTTTGAGAATATTTTAGTTTACAAGTTTCATTTCGAATTATTTCAGTTTGTCATATTAATCAACCAAACTTCAGAACTTCACAATGTAAACTGCATAACTATACTGTTGAAATAATCCACCCGAAGTACAAATTTTCTCATATATATATATATATATATATATATATATATATATATTTCATGCATGTTTGTATTCTCTTTTTCAGTTTCAGTAAACTATTAGAATTGAAACAGGAAGCTGAACAAAAACAATTACATCTATTACAGATATTAGAAACGGAACAACGAGCTAAATGGCATTATGTTAAACAGATTGAAGAGTTGACAGCTGAAATAAAACAGTTGAAGTATGAGGTATGTTCTGTCTGTATATCTCTCTAACTGTCTACTAATCTGTTTGTCTATCTATCTGTCTGTTTTTACTCACATCGATGAGTTGCATTCATTTTATTATCAATTTTTATGTATGTTTATACAGTACGATAAGGATTTCTCCTTGAATTAGGCTCGTCAGCTGAATACAACAGTGTTACGACTACTGATTCAATAATTATTGTTGACAATAACTGATTATAGAGGATAATTTCATTGATGAAGAGAAGCCAGTTAGGTATACTGGATGATGACTAAAGGTGAAATAAATCCTGTCACGACCTAGATGTTCATCTACCCTTCAGTCATCACCTAGTAACAGTACTAAAGATATGGCAAACCAATAGCTACTTCAGATATTGACTTGGTTATGACTAGCAGTGTAATCTAGGCTTCACGTTTCATTCTACTTATGACTCTTCAGTTGAATGTACCTTCACACCAATGAATATTTGGTATGATAAAGTTCATTCAAATCAAAATTATGAAGTCAAGTCCCCTTATCGTATGTACCCTTTTAAAAACTTACAACCAAATCAGAAACAAAGTAATTATGTGTGTAAGGAAGTGGTCTTACATAGTTCTAGGTGAAAATTTAAAAACTCTGTAAACCATTGCTGTTCATCGCTTACTCGTTTTATATAAGTATGTCAAATTGCATAGTAATTTGGTCTCATAAAAAGTAGCTAGTCAGTCAACTAACTGTGATAGTTTTCTTGATGTTTTTTTGGTGTCGTTTTTGATCTTCATTCCCCAGTAAAATTTAGGTTTTGTTCCGAATCAATTATTCTCTAGTTCGTTATTTTTGTTTGGCAAACGTTTCACTGTCATGCTAGACATCATCATCTTTAGTGGATTGGATGTTCAACAGGCAGAGAAGTAATTGGTTGTGTATAGTGGATATTTATAATGTTTTCATTTACCTCAGTCTAATCTGATTGGTCAGTCAGTGAGTGTGTAGGCGTATAATAAACCTGGTTGGCTGATTTTTCATGTCTAGTTTTATCTAAAAGATATATGACCATTTCATTGGTTGATTGAATAGTTGCATTCATTTTGAAAGTGGCGGTAATTTTATTGTTTTTATCTTATGACATTTTGTTTTAGTTCAACGAATATCGTATAGACCGTAGATTCAATTTGGAATTTGAAAATGAAACTGAAGAGTTGAAAAAAATCAAGAAGGTTTGTTGGTTTTTTTATTGATTTTTGTACTTTAAAACATAATTAAAGTATGCATTGTAAACAATAATGTTAGACTCATGGCGATAATGGCTCAGAATTAATTTTACCGGTATAAATGTATCTACACAATATCCTGATGGTAATATCACATTTCGTTATTGGTTTTATTCTTATCCCTTCCAACCTTTATTCATGTATGACTCTCTACAACTTTGAAATAAAACTTTTCTCTATTGTTTTTTTATGTTTCATTTTCCTATCTTGTACCTTAATGCGGTAACAGAGTATCTGGCAAATTGAACCGGTATGTCATAATGCTGATAGGATAATTAATGTTTATTACTTCCCCACTCCTACCTAAAGCCTATTTAAGAAAGAATACTCAGGTATGTAAAGATCTTTTCTGAAGGTGTAGAAAGAAATAACGACGCATAACTAACGATCTATCAATTTATACATCCAGTGGGACTGTTCGTTGACTGATCCGTAGGATATTATCAAGTAACGATGTTCATATGCTATGTCTTCTCTATTACTTATTATTTATTCTATCTGTCCGTCGGGCTCATACCGGAAAATAGGGCTTCAGTAGCATATCTACATTACACTCTCTTCTCGGAAATCTCTTCAACCTCGCTCCAACACTGCACACAAACTCTCATTTCCTCCTCACACAATCTCCTCCATATCAACCTCACCACCAACGCCCAAATCGTCACTTCCCATCGGGATTCCACTCCACGGTCTGACCTGACCTGACCTGACGCGTGATGTACCCAATCGATCTTATCACTGTATACCCAATACAATACAATACAATCCATCTCCACTTACTACTTCCACTGCATATTTGTTCACCGATAGCTTCTTGCTTCGTCGCTTCGTCACCAGGTCACAGTGAGTTCCTTCTTGCTTAATCTTACTATTCTGGCCATCTGATGTTGAGTGAGGAAGGAGCCAGTGTAGGTGGCAGTTGTTGATGAATGTTTGTAGTTTGTTGGAAATGCCTTTGGTAACATGCCAAGTTTCTGAAGCATCACATAGCAGTACTGACTTGAGTGAATTGGTGTTGAAAATCGGGATGTTGTTCCACATGCTGAGTGCAGAAGATCTTCTCTAACATAAAAAATGGACGTTATCAATTGCTTAGTCAAGACCATATGTTGGGCTGTAAGCTTTGGAACAATACTGTTTATCTTTAACCATGACTTTTATTCTTTAAGACTGAATTATTACGGCTGAGATAGTTTAGGTGAATTCCATCTCGTTTACAACTTTCTATCAATGAAATAACTCTACAATCTTAACTAGTTAATACATAAGTAAAGTCATAGACTTTATATCGAAGCTATTCAAAACACGACTGGCCTATTGTAGGAGTAGATTATGTACACTATTCCTTCATATATGGTTAACTTAGAAACACTAGCTTCCTCACCGTTGAAGATACATCTTGAATTCGTGAGCTAAATTTATCCAAGTACACCGTTGATTAGCTCAGCTCCAAAGTAGCCAAACTCTCGTATGATGTTCATATCACTCTAGAAAAATTTACATATCATTGTCAGTGATGATTAAAAGGTTTTGAAAATGTAATTAAAACAATCACTAAAGCGTAGACTAATTATATAGTAACACGAAGAGAAGAGAAAATGAATGATAACGTCACATGACCAACTGTTGTTGATAATAAGAGACAACAGGAGAAGGACAAGATGATAAGAACTGTAATAATAATAATAATGGTAATAGTTTGTGAGATGAACGAAGGGAAAGTTCATGTTTTCACAGATAAGCTGTACAGTTGGCCAAGACAAAGAAAGACGCCGTACTAATTTCTACTGAACATGAAGACTCAGCCTGTTCAAAAGTCAATTATGATAACTTCTGATGTATGTCATTAAAGATGAATTTATAAAGTGTGGGTGATATAACAAGGAATGTAATGAATGACGTTAAAGGTATTATAAAGTATCAACTCGGTGACTAACTTCAATCAGATGAGACAGTATGAAATTTTTTATCGGTTTTATTTCCCATTTACTTAACCATAGCGTATGATGCTCAGCCATTCGACGATGGACTTGTCTAATTATGCATCCAATGTAACTAGCTCCACAGGAGCAGTTGAATTGAAGTCAGATAGTGTGTATTTGACTCAGAAAGTCATCGTCGATCAACTGTAGAATGTGTAACATAACTATGATGCACTAAATAATCTTCTTATGGCATTCCGTAAGGTGTTGTGTCACAGTTTCGTTAATAATGTCACTTAAAGGGTCGAACTTTTAACTAAATTTTGTTGATATCGCAAAAAGGTTCAAATCTCAAAGCAGTGAGTGTATTGACCGGTTGACGTTAGTTTTCAATATATATATGCCTTCCATCCGCCATCCATCATTCTTGTCAGTTACGCATCCAAGAAGATGATGCTATCATCAATTCTTCTGTGAATGTTGAAGGTTATCCAGTCTAATTCTCACATCATTCTCATTATTTAGAATTAAGCATTTATCGTTCATGCAATGGCAATAAGGTTTTAACTCACTTGTAATACTTTTTGAAGGGCTATTTTCTAATTTTTCTAAGAAGAAAATTGCTCAGGTTTGGTCTAGTCGTGATCACATAATATCGCTCCACTGATACTTTGTAACTGATAACGAATCATTACCATTACACTCGTATGTTATTCCATATTTTGAAAATGTTATACGTTAGTATAGAGTCATTGATGAGGAACGAGCTCATTACAAGGAAACATTTATTTGCTCATATTGTTTGTTTTCCAAGCGGGAACTTTCATATTCTTCCTCATATATGAAGTACATTATTATTATTATTATTTGTCCCTTGAGTTCCTAATGGAAAAAAGGGCTTCAGTAGCATGTCTACATTAAAATCTCTCCTCTGAAATCTCTTCAACCTCGCTCCAACACTGCACACAAACTCTCATTTCCTCCTCACACAATCTCCTCCATGTCACCCTCACCACCAACGCCCAAATCGTCACTTCCATCGGGATTCCACTCCACGGTCTGGCCCGACCTGACCTGACGCGTGATGTACTCAATCGGTCTTATCACTGTATGCCCAATACAATCCAATACAATCCATCTCCACTTACTACTTCCACTGCATATTTGTTCAACGATAGCTTCTTGCTTCGTCGCTTCGTCACCAGGTCACAGTGAGTTCCTTCTTACTTAATCTTACTATTCTGGCCATCTGATGTTGAGTAAGGAAGGAGACAGTGTAGGTGGCAGTTGTTGATGAATGTTTGTAGTTTGTTGGAAATGCCTTTCGTAACATGTCAAGTTTCTGAAGCATCATATAGCAGTACTGACTTGAGTGAATTGGTGTTGAAAATCGGGATGTTGTTCCACATGCTGAGTGTGGTGCAGTCGATCTCCACACTGGTTTCAAGCTGATGAAGGAACGCCTATCTTGCTGTGTGTTCGATCTTGACTGGTTTTGACATCGTCATCTGTGTCGTCTGTAGTTGAAACAGTGCTGCTCTACCTAGATAGGTGAATGAGGCTACTTCCTTTAAGTTTCTAGCATTGATGGTGATTGGAGCTTATTGTTGGTTGGGTATGTTCATCACCTGTGTCTTCTCTATATTCACTTGAAGTCCCGTCTTCGCTGCCCTGCCTCTTCTGTCAACTTGTTAGTTTTCGCTTGTAGATCTTCAAGTTTGTGCGACCTCAGACACAAGTCATCGGTGAAATCCGAATGTTCTAGGATGTTTTGCCTGGTCCAGCCGGCGTATCCCCCTCTTCTCTCTCCTCACTGTTTGTTGCATGATCCAGTTGACCACAATCAGGAATTTTATGGGTGATGGTAGGCAGCCTTGTTCTACTCCTATCTTCACTTCATAAGCATCACTGAGCCAGTTAATTGGTCACACAGTCACCAAGTTCTATAAGGTTTAATTCACTCAGTTAAATATTGGTCTACTGTCTACGTTTGTAAAGTAACAATCATTCATGTGTAAATTACGCAACTTCCCTAATTGTTTGTAATTTATTTTGTGTTATTCTCTTATTGGTCACAAATAACAATTTAATTATGTAATCAACCAATAGAATCTAGTGGGAGGGGTGTTAAACGCCATGCTCAGTGTATAGTTCAATTGATGAACCCTAGTTATGGTGAAAGTCATGAAATACGGCCAACTAATTCATCTGTTTATTGATGCGTATTCTAGGCACCAGTAGTATGACCGCATAAAATTAATGTCTTCAGGCATAAGTCAAATGACATAATCCATGTTAAGTGAGAAAGCTATTTTCCAGGTGGTGTTTTTCATCATCTTGGGTCACTGGACAACTGTTTCGTCCTAACATGGGACTCCTCAGCAGTGCACACCTACGATTCCATCAGCTGTTTGACAGCATAAAAACTTGTAAAAAAAAATATGACAAATTTTTGTTAATATGTTTATTTCGAAAGACGATAGGAAATAGCATTATCATGGTAGAACATGTACATCCACCAAGAAGTCATAAGGTGTTATATTAAGGAGGAAGAAATGGAGATAAAAGCACTAACAACATGTTATGTTGTATGACTATGATATACTATAAAGGATTTGTAACTGATGATAAGAATGATGATTGCTCAATGTCGTCTCAACTTTAATCTTTGTTCTTGGAAGCTAGACAACTTCATCAACATCTACTTCATAGAGAAGTTTACCTGAATCACTTCATCAAGAGTGTCTAACTATAGATATTGGTTGCCGGTCAATATAAAACATATATTCCCTGACCTTATACTTCGGCGTCACATTTTAGTGTTGGGATTCAGGGCTTATTTTCAACTCCATCCTACTCAGTCGAAGCTGATACTTTTGGCTGATTGGAATGTACTCAGTAACCATTTGCATATTTGTACAGTGAGAAATGAGAAGGCTGTTGATACCAACTGATAGTGTATGCCTTGGTAGACAGGAGGATATTTGAAGCCGTAAGCTCGGCTCCTAGATTGATGAAGTCCGA